AAAATATGAATTTTCCTATTTTGCAGGTATAATATGCCTTGCATGAAAGTTTTTTTAGCATTTAATTACTCCCCGATTTCTCATATAAATGATATGGTATCGTTTGGAAACTATCAGTGCATCTTGTCTCTCATTTGTTCATAACATTATCAGTGTTTGTCTGAAACATATGATCATATACTGTTTGTCAATATGTCTTCTATGTGTAAAAATTTAATCTCAATGCAAATATATGCATAAATTTTAGACCAGTTCAGTTACACATAGCCTTTTCGCTCGAACAATGAACATTTCAATGTAGTACAGTGCTCTTAATCAGTTACTAAATGAATATCACACAAAACACTGAGCAACTTTTGAAGACATCATGTTGTTCATTTCTGGATATCTTAACTGCAAACTTGATTGGACGTTTTCAGTGTCATATACACTTATGATCGTAGTACATTGCCTCAATAAAAGTGGACCATAAATGATTATCAGTCTTCTGACTTCCAGATTCTGCTTAGTTAGTGATAGAAAATCTACCTGAGTATATGTTTAGGTGCTAAACCAATCCTCATCAGCTGACTAATACAGTCAGTCTATATATACGAAGGTACTGCTTTAGTTTTCATGATGAAACGTTCAGAATCGTTGTTTTCAATTAGAGCTTTCTTAAGAGTGTTATATCTCCCACAAGGATTGTCTGTTATGACTCATTGATCTAGTGGATAACGGTCTATGGTTACAAGCAATTGGTCCTGGATTTCATTGCTACCCACCATCCATTACTAACAGTTTTAAAGATATTTAGCATGTTATTATCTCTTGCAGGACTGTAGGTGTTACAGATTCTGTGACAGCTATCGTAAATGCTTCACCATGAAAACCATGAAGCCAAACCCCATTTGATTAAGGGAGGCTAAAATTCCACCCTTCTTGAATTGAAAAATCAATGGAAAGTTGCCAACTGAAATAATAGGAAAATGTTTGTTTTCTTCAGGAGTAGAAACAATTCTCGCTGCCAAACTTCTAGTCACTTTATCCACACAATCAATAATTCGATAATGTATAAACAATAGGCTACCACTATTGGCCTTTTTAATGTGTATCCTTCAATTAAGCTGCTCCTGTGGAACAAAGTATGTTAGTCTTGCTCAGCGTTTGGGTTCTAAACACCATCGAACATTTATCACTTCGATGTTTCAAAGAAGAGTCAAGATTCTCTTACAGTTTATATCTTGATCAATTCTGGATACATCGAGTGAATCCGCAGCTTAGTTTGTGTTACCTACAGAATGCGTGAAAAAATCATAAAGGTTATGGAAATAAGACTTCTTTAAACATCGAAAGCCATAGCAATTTATATGCTGAAGCATGAACTCTGGATACCAAAGAACCTCTTTCAGTCATTAGACCTGAAACAGAGTTAGAAACCGTTTCTTCGATGTCGTTACGTCTTCTTTCTTTATGGGATATTCCTCTACCTTACTATCTTAATTTCTCATTGTTGAACTTATACCCAGTTCTTATAACTGTTTTGCATCGTGTAAATTTCTTATTTAGTCTCGCTTTAGCTCTTGAAAAACTGTTATTTGATCATTATCTTTCACACTATATAGCTTCCTTTGGTCTCTCTAAGCTTTACTAACTGGAAATTTTAGTAATTATAAATCTTTTTTGTTGTCAAGCTTAAGAATAAACCGTTGAAAACAGCAACTCTTCGCTAAATGCCGTTTGTTTTATGAATCAATAAAATGTACACATAAGATTTGCAATAAACTTAAAAAGGTTGAAGGTCACTTGACAATTAGATGGGTAGTAGTGAGTTGAATCTCTGTTTAATGATTCAGGTCAAACCAAAGAAGTTAAAGGTATCAGAAGTTAACAAAATATACAGAACAGATTGAAACCATTCCATATTAACTTTACTATTATGAAGAAAAGAGGTGATAAGTTACTGTCACAGGTAAATAAAACAATGGATTAATTCATTGCTTATTACATAAAGCTATATTTCCATGCATGTTCAAACTTGTGTTTTGAGAAGTTCTATTGTTTAAATGACTTCTCAGAAATTAATTTATTTTAAAACTACCATATGAGACATCAACAAAGTCATCCATAAAGCCATTAAATCTATGTGAAACCAAACTGCATTGATAGCTCTTACATAAGTTGGGTAAAATATTTACTGATAGTCATGGGACTGGGAGATGAGCTGCACAGCTTAGTCTCTAGGGCAGTAGGATCGTAACTCAGAAACTGTCACATTCAGTTTACCTCTCAGTTTCATCAAATATTTCTGCATTAAACTAGTTTCACCATCAAGCCTATTGAAACTAACGTATTCAACTATTCCTCACTCAGGTGTCATGTTTAAATAATCATAATTGTTTTTTATCTGCTACCTGTATATATGAATATGTATATGAAAAAAATGATGACATTCAACAACCTTGATATAAATTGATAAAACTAAAAGAATTGGTGGACGTTTATCCCTTGGCCACCAAAGTACAGTTTATACCTATTGATTGATCACTGGAGATCAACCAATTAATGTACCTAACCCAGTCCTACAGGTCAGTCACAGACCGAATAACTCAGTGGTAACCTCGCTGACTACAACTACATCGGGCGATGTGGGTTCAAAGCTCCTAGGGGATATTAATTTCCTTGAGGTTGCAGATACGCTTGACTGATGTGTACCAAAAGGCATAAAACCTAGGTCCAGGGCTGCCTGTCGACTACCTCCAACTAACTGTTTATACTACTATATTTATTTATGAGCATGAACTGTGTGATATTGATAAAATTGCACTATAAACATAACAATGACAATGTGAACAGGTAATACATGACTCATAACTCGTGTATTTTTGGGTTGTTGGTTAAGAAACTAGAACTGTAGTCAGTGGTTCACAGGTTTCGAATTCCTTCCTGGATATGATTAATCTACATACAACTGATTCATTTCACAGCCTAGTTCACGGGAATGGTAAGTTGCACCAATTCAATGTTTTAAAACGGGAAAAAAGTATTGAGTATTGTGACATTAGGTATTGGAGAACCTAACTGTTGAACCGAAAAACTCACTACACGCCAAAAGTAGTTAGTTAGTGAGGAGACAATCGAAGTAAGATTTAGCTAGAACATTCTGAGTCTGTCTATTCGGAGTATTATCGCAATAAACATGCCCACTGCACACTTCAACGCTCACATAAACAATTCACAGGTAGGTTGTTTTAAATGAGTAGACAGTGAAAGAACTAAACTAACAAAACCACTTAATTTCATCACGTCACATAAATTGGTTAAAGATCATGGCAAGGAGATCGGATTATCAAGTGGAATTCCCTTGAAAAGAACACTAAGTAATACAGAATTCTTAAATGTCACAAAGTCTAGTGAGGACATTTAGCCATTACTCAGTAAACACTTTATGGAATGGCTACTATGTATCTGTGTTGATAATCGACTACGCAGATTTTTTCCACGTCCCAACCATCCATGATTGCGATTGAAACAAAAGGTTATCGGCAAATTTATCACTCACTAGAATGATGAACAACAATGTACTGTTTGTAAGCATTGATAAAAATTGGCTAGTTTGATACAAGTATTCAAAATTTAGTAAATCAACGTTACCATCTTGAGAATGCTGTTTAAGTAAACCTAACAATAGCTAAGGTAACCTTCTGGTGCTGAGAATACTGCTCATTATTAAATAACACAAGAGTAGTATTACTTTTAAATTACTTTGTACGGCCAAGACCCTATATCCAAATGCAATAAAAGCTAAGGCGAAAAACAGATTGAGTTAACTTAAAACACACTACTGACTTCGCTGTTTTTGAATATCTCTCTTCTACTTTCTTCAATCCCCATGTCTTACAATTCTAGGCTATAAAGGTGGATTTCTCTGAAAACGACTGAGCAGACTTTGCGGAGGGATGAAATATTGTGATATGAAGTGGTGTATGTATATGAATTGAAATAGATACATTTCTGATTGGGTTAAAAAATGGGATATTAGGGAGGAAACAACAAACATATGGAGACAATTTTAGAAGAGCAGCATTTAGTTTGAAAGAGGACTAACCGGCATGTTGAGATAGACCTACCCTATAACACTAGCAAGAAAAGTTAAAAGTGAAATTCGACAATCAGACGTTGAAATTACCTTATTCCAGTAATATCTTTGATCAGTCGACCAAAAAAAGACAGTTAAGGACAAACTGTCTCAGGGTGGTCCACAAATGCAGTTAAGTAACTTGCAGGAAAGTCATCAGTTCTACTTACATGTTGCTCTCTAGTTACAAAACTTAAGTCGACAAACAACCAGGTTCAGAGGAAAGTATGCTTCTAAAAGCATCCTGAGCCATATTTCCCATATAAGGTGGCTGGTCAACATAGTGCTGTTCAGTTGAAAAAATTAGCATTCATTATGGTACTTTTGAACAAAGAAGGTTAAACGTGGTAATCAGATGCTCATATAGATAACTGAGCAGTTAAACTGTACTCCTAAAGGCGTCAAACTTGGGATTTTTTTCACACAGAACGATTACCTTTTGTTGATTAACAAGGCAGAAAAATTGGTTTTCTCGGTTCGCTTTTAATCTACATGCATCACAGACAAAATCAATGGTAACCATATCAACTGCATTCGCTTCTAATTGCAACAATCCACCGGCTACGTGGTAAAAGTTACTTGTCTCTACATCCTAAGATAAACTTTGCATCTTGGGATTATTTGCAAGGGTGATCATAAACTTTTTCACATGAGATTCGATGCATACATTCACCAACTGCTTGGACGTCCGTGTACAAGGCAAACAGCTACAACTATTGTGAGGGCTGTTACTACCCGCCGCCAAGATGCAGGCAGGTGAGTGGAGTCTGAAGCCATGTCCTACTAGTTGAAAGTCTCGTAAACAGACCAGTCAGTAAAACTGACCGATTAGCATACATATTTCATACAGAAACGTGCAACATCACTGTGACAAAACCAGAATAAGTATTTTGGGTTTATTTACAAAATTTAAACCAATTATGGAAATTACAGAAAACAGGCAACGAAGTCACAGTCATAAGAAAGGTAGTGAGAAAGAGTTCATTTTGACTAATGCAAGTGAGAGGAATCTTCAGACATCCATTTACAACCTGAAAAGATAAGTGGTAAAATGAATATGGAACATCCACAATTCATGTCTATTATTACAAAGGATTTTAAAGAATCAACACTTTTAAATGTACTTCTGATGTACCATTCAATGAATACGATGATTTATTCTTCATTCTTGTTAGTATGGCCGAAGTTCCAAAATAAAGGTGGAGACAAGCGATTAATTAAGTCCTTCTATACAAGTAAAATCTTTATGTGACCACCGGCAGCGGCTTTCACCAGCCATATTAACAAACAACTGGTGTGTGCGGATGATGTAAATGCAGATCACGCAAGACTTACAAGCTTTGAAACTACTAAACTGGCATTCTACAGGACCTATGAGACGACTCCATAAACGCAATGCACACTTAGTTAATGAGTCTCAAAAACTGGAAGCTGAGATGCATATGTACGACCTTTTTCAATCTATTATACGATCCGAGCTTTTGATATCAAAGTTTCACTAGTGTTCAAGTTGGGTTGTTTGGAGAAGACGCAGAGCATCTGACAACCTCCAAATACAATCAGAAAGCTGTGATATCGCTCAAGTGATTTAATTAGGAATACTAGATATGGAAATGCAACAGGATAAGGAATTAGATACATGAGTAAAACTCAGATACAGTGAAGTATAATTTCACTTATTTGAAATAGCACACAGTAAAGCAATGTTTTACTCAATGACGTTTCGAGCAGAATTTATTGCGCAAAATTTCATCCAGTAAATAATACTGTTTCTTTATGTGATGTATCAAATAAACAGTCTGATAAAGAACTAAGGAATTAGACTTATTTCACCGTCAGAATGTACACGCTAATATTAAGCCTCTTCAAAACTGATCTAGCTTCCTTTAGCACTGAACGTTGAGGTAGGCGGTGGCTTGGACATATGTGGCGTATGAGGTTGAACACCACCGACTGACTTGTTGCCTTGCATAGTACCCTTTGCATAACCTCGACATTGTTCACATGGTGATTCCAGTACACGCGAGCAATGCTACGAAGATACCAGTGATCAAAAGCTTGTAATTGCTCCATATTTTCTACATTCAACGGCCATGTCTCACAGTCATATAACACGACAAAACGAATAGTAGCGCAATATACCCGTTCTTTACTAGGTAGTCAGATATCTTGTCAGTCGGGGCCACAGAGGACGCAAGTAGGCAAACAACAAGTTGAGACTGCGTCAGCAGCCAACCCGTTCTAGTTGATGCAACTCCCTAAGTAAGTGAAGTGGTCGACACATTCCACGACTTAATTCTCTATAATTAAACTGGGAGTACCTGCAGTAAGCCAGTCGTGGAGCATTATCCTACATTTGACAGGTGAGACACATGCCAAACATACTCAGATTTCTGCTCAACGCATTCAAAAAACCCTGCACTGCGTCAGCGTCTTCACCTAGCAGGACAACATCGTCTGCATACTCCAAGTCAACCAGGGAGTAGGTCGATTCCCTTAAAATCACAGCTACCTAAGCGAATGTCCATTTCATTTATACGTCTATGACGAAGTTGACCAGGAACGGTGACAGTAGAATCCCTGCCAAATATCACTAGTTGTCGTCAATTCTGGAGACAACCCTCCATAAGTTCTTACATGGCTGCATGAGTTCGAGTAGAGAGCTCTGATTAGTGTTATATATTTTCTCGGTAGTTTATTCACAGTCAAACACTGTCACAACACTTCACGGTCGACGGGGTCAAATGCCACTTTTAGATCAAGGAATATGGCAAGTGTCGGCCACCGGTAGGTATGCCTATCGGAGGGTAAAAATATGAACAATGCACCCTAGTCCAGGTCTGAAAACTGCCTAGTTTTTTCGAGCTCCAGTTGAGCATCAGATAACTATAGACCCTAGGATCTCCTTATTGAAGGCTCTCTACTCGAACACTTGTGGGCATGTTAGAGACTATGGTGAGATGTTCGGGGAGCTATGCTCATCGAGTGGTGTCCGTCAAGACTACCCACTGTCTCCATTCTTATTCAATTTCATCATATATATTCTTACGGAGGTTCCCCTCTCGTCACCTGATTACACAGACGTTGACCTAATCGCAGGAGAATTTTCGTTAGACCTAGAATATCCAGATGACATAGCCCTACTAGATGAAGACGCTGACAAAATGCAGAGTCTTCTGAACACTTTGAGTGGGAATTTGAGAATGCTTTGGATGCGTTTCTCACCACCCAAATGCAAATTGTCGCTCCACGATTGGTCTTTAACTGTGCCCCTTCGTGGCTAACAATAAAGAGTGTAGTGATTGAGTGTGTCGACCACTTCACTTGCCTGGGAAGTAGGATCAGTCCCGCTCTGATGGCTCAGTGGACGATGAAATATCTGCACGGATACAAAATGCTCGGCTGGCTTTCGCCAACTTACACCACCTATGGCGCCGCAGTGATATCCGAGTGTCTACTAAGGGTCACGTGTACTGCTCAACAGTCCACTCTCTTCTACTCTATGGCTGTGCAACATTGCCATTGAAGATGGAAGACATGAGAAGGCTGGCTTCAGGTGTTTGACCACCATTGCCTTCGTAGTATAGGCCGTATTCTGTGGCGTCACCACGTGAGTAACGCAGACGTCAGGTATAGAGTTTTAGAGAGTAGAGGTAAATCAGTTGACGAGGTTATGAACCTTTATCGACTGAGATGGTTGGGACACGTATTACGCATGCCAAGTGGCTGATTGTCTCGTCACACAATGTTGGCCGAAGTAGGTCCAGGATGGAAAAAGTCAAGAGGTGGCCAGACTAAAACATTCCACCAATGTATGAAGTCTTTGACTGTTGGTCTGAGCTATGTGGGACGATGCAGACTAGCCGGTTGGTGTCCGCGGGACAAGAGTGACCAGTGGTTGAAGACTCTAGGCGATGTCGCTCAGAACCGATGTCAGTGGCACAGACATACACACATTATCCTCATTTTACGACGCTATACCGAATCTCACCATTTTCTCATTCTTCCTTTCTCTCTTTTAGTACTTTGTATTTCTTCTGACTGAATTTTGTTATCTTCATCTTGCATGCAACCCACTGCCTTTTTACTTGATATACTGATATGAGCTGTGGCAACTCGAACCGTTACGCAATAATGCCTGGTCCTATGTTGATATTAATGACGATAGGATCTCCGACACCTTATTCTCTTATGATTGTCACAGGAGGATGTTTCTCCCTTCTTATGTCCTAGGATGATCAGCAAAGTACATCAATCTGATGGCACTACCTCTGATTCCCATACACTACCTAGTACCTGTCACTATATTTAGCGATTTCCTACCTTTATCTTTAAAAACTTCGGTTGGCAAACTGCCAGATCCTGTTTTGCATTGTTTCAGGTTTGATACAGCCTTCTCAACTTCCAGGACAGTTGGTAGGTCAACAATTCATGTCCCATTCAGGTTCAGACTCCATGTTGGGGAACTGAGAGGTTGCTATAGGCCAGTAGTGTTGAGTGTCTGACTTGGCATACAGTTTGGACGTTGAAAGCTTCAATATGAAACCGACAGCGGGGTCTTAGGAGATGAGAAATGGTATTTTGCTGGCTTGAGTTGTTAGCGGTGGTCACAGAGTGAGGTTGGGGAAGATGTAAGAGGCTTAATATTAGAGCCAGGGGGTGACTGCAAAGGAGGAGACAGAGTTCAGGAGGATAGGTTGTTTGATTGGGTCTTGTATACTACTGGAAGAGTGCAGGTGATTGACACTTCCTGGTTACCCACACCATGGAAGGTTAGTTTTCTTGAGGTATATGAAAGAGAGGGGATAATACATGATCGTATGGTCCAAGGGGCATCCGCTCGAGGCCTATCATACACAACTTTTTTGCAAGTTTGAGATTTTGGGCTTCCGCTTTCGAATCCCAATTATGAATCCTCGTCACATGCATAGGGGTGATGCGCGATATTTTGGAGACCATGGGAAAGGCAGTATCATTGCGGGACTGCTAGTCATCCAAGGGAAACATCTTACTGCTGCCACACGTCAAGTCGACTGAACGACATAGCCCTCAGAACCCCATCCTAGTATAGCAATTTACACTACACCGATAACTGCTTTTTGCCTTACTACTACCCAACAACCTTTTTTGGTATGGTAGGATGTTGAGGGGGCAGGCGTTTCCCAGTATCCAATATTGATAGTGAGAGCGTAGAGAACCAATAATCTTTTTTATCCCTCACGTCTAGTTCTTAGGGCTTGGTTCGAATTGTTCGGTTTGCTCCTGAAATGGATAAGGAAATCTCTTTTGCTTTCTTGCTCTTAGCTTCGGTGAACTGGATGTTTAGTGGGTAAGTAAATTGCAATTTTTAGAGTGATTTGGGAGCTACCGGTTGCTGAGATTAGAGGCCTGTCGTAACTCTTGTCTGTGTAGGTACCTGAACAGGAATGTGGTCAGCAACCTTGTTCATATTCATGCAGTAGGCAATGAGCAACACCTATGTGAGGGCTAATAATACTGCCTAGCTGCCCAAACCTCGGTACATAGAGCACAGCGCGAACAGAGACCCACTAAAAGAAAGCCAACCCCTATTGGTTGAAAGCGTTTTAGCCAGTGTAGCTGGTTGAGTTGTTATATACAAGCCCAACCACCATTCAAGGTAGTAACTATCGATTCGGGTAGCATCATAAAACCCTTACAGAAAAAGTACGGGTGTTAGTACAGTACACAACTTTCGGGGAAGCATCGTAAAACAATATAATCGTAATCCACATTACACTAAAAGTGTTTCAAAAGACCTGAACCACCCGAAGGAGCTCTGCACGGCGATCTACAAGTATAATACTCCTAAAATCTCAGCTAAATAAATCAAAAATCTCCAAAAAGAACTAATCAGATATTGAAAGCCTCCAATCCATAAACTTTGGGATGACATGGACTTCAGTGCACTTACTTTATAGTTCACCAAATTGTTCGACCTCCTATGATTGAGGTGTACCTAGAATAGAAATAAATTAGTTTTCATTAACTTACATAGTGATATTGTCACGCACAAGGCTAGGAGCAGGAGAATTATAATCCTCGAGCGCAAGGGGTAGAGCAGGAAGCGCTATGCGACACTCAACATCTATGGAGTCATTTCTATTTCTAATAAAAAATATCAACGAATGAATAAGGATGGAAATACGTGTGCATCCGAATACTTCCATCTATAGATGGATATATATCATCAACAGAGGTAACTTCACACACTATAGAGCATGGCCGGGTAAGTACTGAGGCGTACTCGACTGGAAGAGAGCTTAATGGTTCCACCTTTACACAACATGCTGTAAGTGGACGAAAGCACCTTCTGTCATCTGGTTTTGAGGATAATAAACGGGAATGCTACCACACAAATTAGTTACCAGAAACAACTAAGTTGCGAATCTTCCTGTTGGTAAGTGAATTTTTCATACACGACACACGACAATAGACCTTTGATGGTGAAAATGATGGATCTGCTTGGGTGACACTGAATCTGACCATAACAGCTCGGCGAACGGAAATTTCGCCTGGCTCAAGGTCGAAGGCCGTGGCATAATCATTCCAATGTCCAATATTCCAACATTGGTACGAACATCTGTCTTTTGTACCTTTTCTATTATAAAAGAAAAAGGGGGCTAAAGAAAACACTCATTTCATGATCCAGCATCAAATATGAGTAGCCAGAGTAAAGGAAACTGATAATTTCAGAACTCGCACGTTTACGTTTAGAAGCTTGATGCATTTCGCCTGGTTTAAGCTAGTGGCTTAGAAGGAACAGCGAAGTTGCTGACAAGATCATTTGACTGTTTGCAGTTCCGGCCTTGTGAATCTGAAGGTTTTTAATTGAACTTCATTCAAAAACAGTCTGAATTTACATACCTTTAAGTTTCTTGTGTGTGATTATGAATGTGTAGAGAAGAAAGAACGAATGAGAAGTGCTTGCTAGGAACAATGGCGTGACTATCAATATTACGAAAGGAGCATCCAGCATCACTAGCATGAACAGAGGAAAGTTGCAGTCATTGAGCTCTGGCTTCTGGGTCTTGTGACTAGGATCTTTTGATTCGTTTACACTCCTTCGGTGGTCATTGAAGTCCTTATACTTTATCTTACCGTAGCGTCACACACTTCCCCAAAATCAATAGCCTAGGGTTTGACGACACTAGACATTGATGCTGACCTTGATAGTTTAACTGGACTCGCTAAGCTGAAGGCACCCGGTCAAGCATCCTAGCCATTTGGCACGCTGTCGTGTTACGTTGCACTGCTCGTATTCATCTCTCTAGCCAGTTAGTTGGAACGCATCGGTATTTTGGCACAACCATCCAAATATACTATTCCATCCGACTACGCTATCGTCTTCTTCCTTGGTCTCGTATTCGTGGGTATATAACAAGTCCGAATAATTAGTGATTGGTCTTTGCGTCTGTCAAGTTCGCACCAGGACAAATCCTAGATTCCCATAAAATTAAAGGTAGTGACTGTCTGTCTGAGGATATTTTGGCAAATCATAGCTTGCTTTGCTTGGTGAAGCACTGGGTGGCAAGAACTATAAATCTAAGCACCTGCTCTTGGCCATTTTTATGCACCATCTGAAAGGCTGTTTTCTTGCTGACTCTGTGACTAGTTTCTAGTATGCGGTCAGCAATAAATGAAGGTGGACGCTTGCCGAACGCACCTACAGGCCTGTTGAGGTCGTTAGTTCCTGAAGCCACTTAGAAACAAGTGCAATCACCCATAAATATGTATCGAAACGACTCTCGTCTACTGTGTATAACTTAAACAATGCTTTCGGAGCCTGTATATTCGATGAATGAGCACGAAACAGGCTTTCTTGACCTATTTTGTGTGATTGCGAATAAACACTAGTGAGGCGTAAAACTTATATTTCGTCCTCTCCCGTTCAGTATCTGCTGTAAGTTGGAGATTATTGAAGACCGCAGCAGGCAAATCTCGTGCATTCATATTGCTGACAGGAAGTAGGAAGCTATCAACATTGAGATGTGGTCGATTTTCAGTGTGCTTAACTCACCATGTTGGCAGCTTGTGTTATACTCAAATTTCAAGTGGTCTCAAATGGTTGCTGGTGGAAAAGAGGCTTTCTCTTGATTGACTTCATTGTTTAGGACCAGCGGAGATCCTGGGACTAAAAGAAGTAAGTAGGCGAATAATAACTGGTTGTAGAGAACTAGGTTGGTAAGCTGACGCTGTGGCCATAAAAGGATACCAAGTTTGTGGCGACCTTTAGGGAACAGACGTTACACTTGATTTTCATTCGGACTTTTGAGTGTTCCTACTTGGATCCACATTAGAGATCATTTTAGGCAAATTAGGAAGCGGGTGTTCTGGAGTATTTAAAATTCTATATCTCACTGACTGATCACTCCTCGGCCGTGTACACTTCAAGGGACATAAATCCAAACTGCTACGCTTTTTTCGTATGTCCCGAGACTTACTTTATGATCGGATTCAGTGCACTTCCTTTGGGTTCGTCGGAAGTGTCTCCCACTCCTTTGAAGTGAAGGAGGAAGGATGGTTGTTTCATACTCCAGGTGAAGCCGTCAGAAACTATCAGTCATCTGGGAACCGCATGTGGGAGTAAAAGCTGCCTATAGACCAGATTTAGAAAGAATGCACTTTTGCCGCAGCATAAGATTTATACTCATACAAGCTTAAGATCCGAGGAATCACCTCTCACCAAAGGTGCCTTCAGTTCTATGCTGCTTGAGATAAATGTGACACATACCTCACCAGGTGCAGGATGCCCATAAACATTTTTGAATGCGGTCGATGGAGGGATAGTTGGAAATATTGGTCGACCGAAACATCTGAGGCCCAGATACAACCACCAGTCAAGCCAACGGTACAACTGAACGGATCCACCGAACATATTAAGAAACAAACATATGATCCCATGGAATCCTCGTTTCTACCCTCAGTATTTGAGATCCGGTTCCCATTCCGCCTTATTACGGAAATCCTTACTGCCCAAGTGCCATGTGATTGATCTACGCAAAACTGATTGCGTCAGCGCGTTTCACCAGGGGCTGCAAAGCAATAAACGTACTGAACGTCAGCCAGAAACATCCTGTCTCTGCGGGACGGCCCGAAAACTTTAAGCACGAGCAGTCTAATCCGCTTTTATATGACCCGTTACCGAAACTCGACCGAATGGTACCTTAAATTCAAGTTCGATATCAGATATGGTTTGGATTTGTTTAAGTTTCGGCGCACTTGAAATAAAGTATTTCCACGCTTCTCGCAGAAGTCCGGTGTGAGGTTTTTAAGGGAACAATCAACATTCAAATATCAAGGATGTATGAGAGAATGCAAAAGCATGTATTCATTTGCATGATCTTGATATTTTAATGCTCACTGTTTCCCTGGAAAAGCCTGGATCGGATTTCCATGCGAAACGTTGGAATTATTTCATTTCAAACACCTTGCGACTTGCACAAACAAACTACGTCTGACGTCGGTCTAACCCCCTCCTATTTGAGCCTGTACCTCAATTATATGTTTCAAATGGCGGCTGACATGAATTACTTATGACATTATTCGGTGTAATATCAATCCTGATAGGCACCCACCAAGGGCTATCGGAGTTTTGAAAGGTCAATTTAGTGGCCAAACCAAAAAGTGCAGAAATAATGCAAAGTACCGAGTGACTATAAAATCTTCACGAAGTACTATTTCTCCACTCTTATGACCAAACCAAACATCTACTGTCCAGGTACCCGACGTTTCTCAAGATCTCTACAACCATCAGCCGTGACGGACCACAACCCATCTCTCGGTGGTCACAATTATTGGACGGTGAGAACGATGATCGTTACGAACCACACCATGCCCCACCTGTTTGCCACAAGATGTAAGTCATATTCTACTCCAAGACAAACTTTCGATAGATCTCCAAAGGACAAAATTATTGATTATGTCGTTTGCTTCGACCAAAATTCATATGACTGCCGGTAGAAAGGAATACATTCAATCTGTAAGTCCCTATTTCTTCCCATGAACTGAACTTTGTCGGAAGGTTATGACTGCAACACCAACATAACGCAAGTGATTCAGGTGCCCTCGGATCATCCGCCTTCCGCCTCGACCAACCACCCTTATATCACTCGCAATGCGGCCAATACTTCTCCCTGGGTAACTGGTAAGGAACCGTCGTTCTGCACACGTTTCACCCTAACCAGTAGACCAACATCAATACCACAATGCAGGTCGATCTCGACGAGCTACAAAATGGTGTGACGCGTGGCTGCAACCTCTGAATACACGGGAACCTGGCTTATGCTGTTCTGTGAACAAGGCGTGCCAACTTATCTCTGACTGAACAACACCGCATTCCAACAGCTAAATAGTATTTGCGACCTTGGAATAAAGTACTCCAGTGACCTTTCCTTTACAGAAAAGGCAACGTCACAGTGCTCCAAATCACACCTCCTCGTTGGCTTCATTCACTAGAATTTTCGCCTGGAAGAAACCAAACTGATTCTATATAAGAGGTGCGTGCCACCACTACTAGAATACTGTCCTATCGTACTTAGTTGCTTGTGGTCTAGTGACAATCAGGAAATAGAGAAAACTCAACGACATTTTACCAGACTTATTTCCCCGGGCAATTCATATAGGGCAGATGTCATGCTATTCGGTTACAGCCTATGTGGTTAGGGCGAACAAAGTTAAACCTCAGCATTTTCTGTGAAGTCCTACACCATGAAGTGACTACTGATTCGATACAGTAAAGTGCGCTGGCAAAATACCTATGGTCTTAGAGAACGTGACTGCCTAGTCACACTATAATATGCGTCGAAACAGCTCAAGTCTTCATTTTTCACAGTTCGTTACGCTAACATTCGGGACAGACTGCTGCATGATGTCCGATGCTGCAAGACCATATCTCAGTTTCAGTCTACCTTGAACCACTACCTCAATGAACTTGGAGTATGAAGGATTCTTAATTTACCCTACACTGACGACACCATATTCCTTATTGGCCCACCAAATATCCAGAGTCACATACACAATAATCTAATGCAACCACACAAGAATTAATTTATCAAACGGTGAGTTATTTTTATTGAATTACACAATATTCCATGAGAATTTGTGGTAATTGTTTTGATGCTAGTTACTGTTTCGTAATCTCAGTGCTACCATAGTTCAGCTACCAATAACCCCTCCTACAACCAAACATTCCACCCACCGTTTCCTTCTTCCTTTGTAATAAGCTAGGAGTGTTTGTGCTGTACAGTAGTACAAGTCAGTTTTGCATGAGGATCAAGCTCGACCATTGCATGAGTAGAGGTATAATGGTCATAAGTGTTGCCTGACGTGTGGTATATACCAAGGGGCGATTGAGTCAATAATGTGTGGACGGTCTTAGCCAGCTGACAGTAAGCTGGAAATATCCTCGTAGCCATCAACTCTATTGAGTGTAGCACAAAAATATTGAAAAAATAACGTGAAGATATGCGAAGATGGAGATAACTGACCAAGAGGCATGATGGTAGGGAGATAACTTGAACTACCCTTGCCTCCATGGC